AGTGATAAATATTGTTACGTAGGATAACATCATCGAATTGGTACCTGACGCTGGCAGCCTTGTGGTGGATACCATTCCTGGGTGGGAGCCTTGATCAACGTTCTCAAGCTCACGGTGACTGTAGCCAACACTGGTTCAGATTTGTTGAATACTCTGAGATATGGGACGATGTTGGACGACATTCTGCCAGCGCTTTCTTTCACCATTACTAAGAACGGTAGGCTGTTCCGTTTACTGGGATAAAGGCGGCTTTCTGCCGCCCCATTGATTTAGGATGCCAAACTGACTTATTTTCTCAGTAATAAATATTGTTACATAGGATAACATCATGGCCTACCTGAGCCTCTGTCTGAAACTATTTGACTATAAGCATACTATTAGATTTTATTCTTCGATATAAGAACTTAACTGAGGTCCTTGCCGTCCCATGTTCTTGATAGTATAGTGCAGTCTCCAATCCGGCAGCCAACGTCGTTTAAATCCCCTACTCATTCTCACGCCCCCAAGTTGGTATCAAGCATCGACACAGCACCAGTACGACAACAATACAGCATGGGTCTAAAATAGACCTAGCACAACAGCACGACCACAGCATTTGACTAGAAGAACCAAAGCGCATAGCCCCGCTAATACAGCGAGAAGCATTTCCCCCCAGATGGAGCGTAAGGAATCAAACGGCGTGACGTGCAGACTTCAAATTCCACTGATAGATTGCGGTAAATAGGGTTCGAGAACACCCTTAGTAGATGCTATGTATGCAATTTCGCGAAATAACCGATAAAGATACTACGAGTGAGGTTTTAATACATCAAGTAAAGAAACAAGTCGTATAGAAGAGACTTACCATGAACGTAGCAGAAAAGTGGTCGCCACCGTCTATCAAACCATCCATAAAAGAAAGGGTAGTGTGAGAAGATACACCGACTCCGAGTAGAGAACAACATTGCCATCTGGCTGTGAACACACTGCACCAGGAAAACTGGATTGTATAGCCATTTACGCTGAACGAGTGGGAGGGCCTCACTTACTACTTTCCTCAACCTTCTCTCCTTTCAGGCGTCAGCATTTCTTTGGCTAATCATTCGCAAAGGGGAAAGCACGCCGATCGGTATCAGCCTCATTGCTTCAGGTCAACACTAGTCCTTCTCACTGCATAGGGAAGAAGCGGTGCTGACCCATATCTTCGAGGACGATGGAGGTGACAGTACGAGAAAAAGTGCCAAGCTTCCATATCGGCAATGGTTAGAGAGAAATTTGATGGTGTCTGCCTTGTAGACGAGTTTGTCGCCAGTTGCAAATATCAAACAAACGCGGGTAACATCCGTGAGCAAAAGTCATTGCAGCGCTACGCCTATAGAAGTTTACGAGAAGCGACTAGAAACAAATATAATCGCCAGTCCTTATAATTAGAGGGACATGCCTTCGATGAAACGGAACCTGTAGGTAGGCCTCAAGCGGAACCAGGGACACCACGTGGCATCCGGCATCGTATCTATGGGCGTGTAGAGGCAAAATCTCCAAAATGGCGTCCGAGGCATTGTTCTAAATAACAATTGGGAGGATGCCTCGGGGCTATTTTCCCCCAAAATGCCTTCCCGCTACCGCTGATAGCAAGCCGGCTGCCACGTGGTGTCAAGGAATCCGCTTGAGGCCTACCTTATCAGATACGAGGGCATCGAGAGAGATTGGAAAGAGTGCCTTTCATCTTCTGGACTGGGAATTAATATGGTCGTCACCACCTGGAAGAGAAATAAGGAATTCGCTAGTCTAAACATGCGGCCACCCGTTCGAGGTGAGTAAGCTCTTGATGACGTAGAAGAGAGCGTAGCTGCGTACCCCCGAGAATTTAAACTCAAACACAAATTTATCGTCACGTCCATTTACCGTCGACGCTGCAGTGACGGTTGAACCAGTCACTCTTAAAGGATTACTGACACGCGTAGGGTGCCTGTGGTACTTCTGACAGCAAGGGGTTTCCGGACCGCTGTTCCGTTACATCGGGTTGGTCGGTCGGGCTGGGGGCACCTTAAAAATTTTTTTGATACCTGTCTCTGGAGGACTTTCTAGGCTATTAGGAGGTGAAAACACATTAAAATAGCAATATACCTGTGTCCAAATGATAGTTTTCTGCATGACAATAGCCTGGTCAGCATGTAGGAGGGATGCAGAGGCAGCTCGGAAATGACAGCTAGCCGGCCAGATCCGGTAATGTGCGGGTATGTGAAGTTACCGGGTGGCTGTGTGTAGTGTTGCCACGGCTCAACTCGACTCAACTCGGCTTGACTTCGGGTGACTCGGCTCCGGGACGACTCCGAAGTCGAATGAAGTCTTCAACTTCGGCTCGACTCGGCTTCAAGCCGCTGAGCTTTGCCGAGTCATTGATCTCCTACCCAAATAGGAAGGTACAAAAAGAAAACTTCAGTAGCAGATAATTTATATGCAAAAATAGTTTCAAATGTTAGTATAAATGTAAATGTGTGTAGTGGCCACTATTTTCTAGGGCTGCTTGGTGTATACAGATGGCAAAGACCGAAGCTTGTCGGCGTGAGAAAGTAGAGCGGTAAATATACGGCAATTTAAGAATTCTTTTCTCACGTTACCTAATGCAGACACCCATCTGCCGCTAGTCAGTAATTCAACACAGAGGGAGGGTACCAAGTCACTGTTCCTCTAAAAACAGATTTAACATTTTCAATTTAATGTCATGTACACATAAATGACTATCTGGGTCCATTAGGTCAAGGTAAAGACAGCTCTTCCAAAACTGGACAGAGTCATCGACTCCAGCCGGCTTCAAGCCATAAAAGTCGAGTCGCAGCCGAGTCAAGCCATTTAGGGCCCCGAGTCATTTTGATGACTCGGCTCATTCTGATTCCGACTCCGCCCGACGACTCGGTGACTCGGACCCGAGCCGTGGCAACACTAGCTGTGTGATTACCAAGCTCATTTGTTTCGCCTTACTGGGTATATTGTTCCCACACCGGTCGGTCGGTCGGCTGGTCGAGGGCTTAAAAAATAAATAGACGCGATGTACTTATTTAATTAAAAATTTCGAGACCCCTTGTCTGACAGGGCAAATAGGCGCGAGCAGCGCGTCGAGGTACGAGCGGGTGGTGGTAAGGAGAGCCATGCCAAATTGGGATACGATCAATCCTTGTTTCAGAACCACCATGTCCGGTCGTTCCCTTGAGCATCGTTGTTTTTCTTCACCTTTATTGTCGTCGCCTGCCTGCCTGCCAAGCAGGATATATACGTCTCTATTCAACGCTCTCTGGTCAGAATCAGTCCCGCTTTTCCTCAATCCGACATCGAAGCACACGGTTGTGCTGGTCGCTTCTTTCTCGTTGGAGCCAGTCCTGAGGACCAAATTTCGATATGGGACATGGGCGTAGCAGCTATGGTAGCGAACAATGGATATCCGAGTTTTTGTGCGTTCTTTTTCTTGACTCTGAGATTGTCTGATTTCTTTGCAGGTGCCCATTTGCACAGATATGATGAATAAACCTATTTCTTGATCAGAACTGTCTTGGTTACGGGGGGATATGGAGTCACCAGCGCTTCAAAATGGCATCCTGAGTGTATGCGTAATGACGCTTAGGACTTTCCCTTTTTTACTTTGCCAATTTCCTTTGCTTGAAAGAGAACAGATAGCAGGCCTTACGTCCTATTGATCTGCGGAGGACAAGACTAATTTCTGGGGGACCGAAAATGTATTCATCTGGATTGCAGAAGTTCACTCGGAAGGCGACGGGCTGTTACATTATCTTCTGAAAGGATCTCGATCACAACTCGTGCGTCCCCCTGTCATGCTTCGAGTTCGAGACTCTGATTCCTTAGTGTTTGACAGTGCGCGCGATGCTAGGAGAACAGCATGATTGCACTCCGTCGCGCAAATCCTACCAGCTCACCATGATGTGTTCTTTCTCATTCCGGTATTGCACAAAGATCAATAGCGACCTTAACACCAAGGTCAGACGCTATTCTCTACGGGGCCTACCTTCGGATTTACACTCTCCAAAATCTTTCGCGTGCCCCAGTCTAGCCCCCAGCTGACTTGCCTTGTTCTGTGACCGTCACCAAGGCTATAACACTCATCACGCCTCATTATTTGATGCCATATAGACACTGTCAGGCCTCCCGATTATCTTGACCAACGATGTACACCTGGAAGCTGAACGCCACGCGTCGCCCTTATCCGATTTACCTGATCTTCGCCATATCGACGCGCAGTTGTATGTGGGAACGTGGAGGACACCATTTCGATTCTCGATGAAAAGATATGACTTTGCGGAAGACCAACTGCACTTGAGGGCGCTCCTGGGTGTAATGCGCGCATATATCTCTCTTTCAAAGCACCATGCCTTCGAGGAATTGAGAATCAGGAAGCTAGGTCAGTTCTGGAGCCAAATACCGTTGGTAAAACGCAAGCGGGGAAACCTTCATGCGCTATCAAAGCAGCATCGTGTGAGTAATATTTTACTTCTGACTCAATACAGTGAGAAAGGGCTAAGTACAGATGTCAGGATGTCGATGCATTCCTTTAGGAAGAGTTTAATTCTTAGGGAGGTATCAAGCACTCTCGGTCGCTGTAAACCAGCGTCGACCAGCGAAAGGAATGATTTCTAGTCATAGTGGCATCAAAGTATTGCATGAAATCATGGTTGAAGAAGGAAAGATGTAGATGCAACATAGTAGCAAAGGAAAAGCTCCGCATTTTCTGTCAGCTATTTAACAATCCGTAAATACGACACATTAAGACGGCGAGAAGTGTATAATTTGCCGATGCAAATGAGTTGAAAAGTGAGTCTGTAGCGAAGCGGTTGAATACCGCTCCGAAGGGACGGGTGGTTCGGACCGGTCTCATCTGAAATTGAAATTAAAAACTCTTTCCTTTTCCTTTCTCTTGCCAAAACGTATTTCGAACGTGTTGACCGCCTGAGTCGACCGTCACGCCTGTATTAAATGTTCTCTCGTGGGCTCATATTTTCGAGCAGTTCTATCTCAGCCACATATACACCAACCCGGCAGAAAGAGCCGATCAATCCGGATCTCAATAGAAGTTCATATCGAGCTGCACGTGCTGTACTCTCGTTACGGCCACCATGAGCAGTCCGGCAAACAAAAGGTCAGATTTACAGACGCTCGTTGAAATGGCTTTGCTTACGCCCGTAACTCCAGATCACACTATATCCAAAGTGAGTGACGGATCGTCATTTGAACATGTTGTCGTTCATTCCACTGTTGCGCAGAAGTCGAGGTTCACAGCCTTCAGAATCTACCCTTCAATATTTCTAAGATCAGCATGGATGTCATCGCCGGAGGCATCATTCGCAGGTCGCCCACCTTCAAGGTTCCATCCGAAACGCCACCTACCTGGTCTGTTCGACTTGATGTGTGAGCTCTACTAGCATCTCCATAGCGGTAGGTTCTGATCATGCAGATTATTATAGAGGCGACCTCGATGCATCAACGTCTGTTAAGTTTAAGCTGTATAGTCACGGCCGATCACCTCTGACGCGCAAGAAACTGTTCGGACACGCGGAGAAGTCAATGTCAGACATATTTAACAGAAAGGGTACGTCTTCTTTTGCACCCCTTACCCTCGCTCAATCTGTCCTCAGGTGTCACTGTGTCCCTTTTTAGTAACGCGTCCCCCGAGTCCGAGATATGCTCCATCAAAATCTTTCACTCCGACGATCTTACAGAGGCTGCAGAAGAGCGCGTCAAAGAGATCGCGAAACCTGTAACCCAACTGGAAAGGGTTGAGAGTTTGCTTAGTGCTGCGGAGCCAATTAACGCAATGGTCGATTTGTTATCGGAGGTCAGTGGCTAGACGTTTACGTAGCATGATTGATGCAAACCGTAGATAGGTTCACCCTACATCCAAAATCGCCTGGAGCCTTCTATTGAATGGATTTGATGCAAGTAGATTCTCTTCGCATAAGGATCATTCTGACCAGTAGTTTCACGGGCAGACATTTAAGAAGCAAAAAACCGGCCTTCTCTCAGAAACAATTGAAATTGTAGTCGACGTCTACGACGCTATGCTCCTGACTTATGAGGAGGCTATTCGCGAAGAAGTCTTGAAGAAGCGAGACAAGCTTCACTGCGTTTACGACACGTTGTTCAAGCAGACCATTGAATGCTCCTATTTCATCAAAGGATACGCGAACAAAAGTGTTACCGGTACGACGAAGAGGCATTCTATTTGAAAACTATATTCTCACACTGCTTTGGTAGGACGGGTCCTCAGCCGCAATCTCCTGGACAAGGCCAAAGAATTTCACGAAGGGTTTACGGCATTGCGCGACAAGCTTCAATCTGGTATCTCTACGGAGACGCCTGTTGTGACGCTCGGGATTCGACAGCTAGTCGACGACCTGAGTACGTATCTCAACCTCCACGGCAGACTCGTAACTCAAAAGCGTATTTAGCAAGAACGGACTTAAACCGGAATCTCCGTCCATTGACCGAGTTCTGTCCAACATCTACATGCATGAAGGGTACACGTGTCGAAACGATCAATGTCCTCATGTCCTGGATCGCGGACTGCAGCGGGGGTATGTTGTGGTGCAGCGGCCTTGCCGGGACAGGGAAGAGCTCGCTCGCGGGAACGCTCCATGAACTTCTCACCACGGGTGGGCGGAATCGTCTCGGTGCCTACCTCCACTATGATCACCTTGGATACTCCGACGCGTCGCATCTCATCACAAGTATCGCTTACTCGTTGGGGATGTATGATAACCGGATCGGTACCTCCATTTCAGGGGTGATCCGAAGAAATAGTGCTCTTCTGTCAATGTCAACAGCTTCTGCGAGTGAGCAGTTTCGCGCACTCCTTCAAGAGCCCTTAGAGAGACTCCCGGACTTGGTCAACGAGGGGCCATTGATTGTCATGATTGATGGTATCGACGAAAGTGATGCGTCTAAAGAGTTGCTCGCCGTTTTATCCAAAGGATTCGGTCTGAGACTGCCTTTCATACGACTCCTTGTGTTCAGTCGCTCCACTGAAACCATATTCCAAGCATTCAGTGCACCAAATTCAGCTGTCACTACAATTGTTTTGAACACCACCTCGGAGGAAATTAGCCATGATATCAGATTTTTCATTGGCTATCATTTCTCCGACATATTTGCCAACCTATCAGCACGAAATGGATCTAATGACTTGCAGGAATTCTGCGAAATGTTCCATGCAGTCGATGGTCTCACTGAACGAGCGAGCGGTTTATTGATCTGGGCTGCTACCGCATGCAGATTCATTCGCGAAAGTCCTAGTACCTCTAGGTTATTCGCACTGCTGGATATTTCAGCTTCTGTGGACACCCTCACATTTCTCTATCGCACGATCCTGGATACTATCGTGTCCGAAACCGACGACCACGTTGTTACCACGCAGTCCATACGTGCTGTCCTGGGTGCTTTGGTCGTAAAAACACCAGAAGGGATGACCGCCAGGGCCCTTGATACCCTTGTTCTCCTTCCTGAAGACACTCCGGCACGCAGTATTTTGGCGAGGTTGGGCAGTGTTATACATGAGACATCGACAGGATATCATCAGTTCTTCCACTCATCTTTCTATGACTTCCTACAGAACCGGTCGCAGTGCGGCGATCAATGGTACATCGACGTCAATGAGTACAAAGACCGGCTTCACAAGCGCCGGTGGGAAGTGCTGAAAACAATGAGGTCTGGAACCTCCGGTGATCTTTCTTCCTTGCTATAAGCTGGTTAGAAATTCTTTTCTTCTGTCGTTACAAATCTCAATTAGCACGGTTTCGTGGGCAACACGATTTACTTTGACAGCTGGTCTGATATCCACGGTCACGGTGAAATGCTAAAAGACACTTTCTAGTGTTGCCTATGTAGCGATTGTGTGCACCCAGATTCGAATGTCTGCCTTCGATACTCAAAAGATAGCGTCCTTAGTACATTTGGTCCTGAAATCAGATCAGCGGAGTCAACAATTCCCGATAAGACTTCTGTTTACGTATACTGGAGGCCTCAACTACTACGCGAGGCATCGTGGTACCCAATCAATGGTTCATGTTGTCCACGTGTTGCGATTCTGAATTACGACGACCATCGAAATCCCTTGCTATCTCCCATGCCAGAGGACGAGAGGTTAGTATCCTGTCATTTTCTCTTAAATTACAGGTCTGACGCGCGACCGAGATAGTCTTTATATAAAAGGTTCGTGAGTATGGATTTGAAAGCGTCGGTCCTCACGTAACCTCAGACGTGGAGTTGAAGTGGCTTTTGTTCAGCGATGCTACAGACCTTCGTCTTTCGATCTCTGCTGACAAGAAAGTTTTCCGGAAAGACGCAGTGAAAACTGAGGCTTCTAATGTGGATTTCAAAACATTGGCCGTGTGGTCCGAGGTATTTCGGGACCTGTGAGTTAAAAATGGCAAGCTGTGATATAATGTGAAATTTTATCTGGCGATTGCAGATCGGGTCTTGAGAAGACGACAATCGTCGACTTTAAGCTCGATTCTCGAACCCCTAGATCTCGCTCTTGGAGGCCTTTGTATCCGAAATGCCTCGGTCGTGCACGATTATCAATCGCTGATATACTTACCACTGATAAGAATCGTATGTGTATCATCGCTGTTAATAACTCGAAAAAACAGACTTACAAATCTTAGGGAACTCCGATCTCCTTCTCTTGGGTAGATCGTCGTGGCCTACGGCGTGGCTCCATTTATCGTTCTCCAAAGATTCCAAGGACATTGCAGAAAAGTTTTTTGAGAGTGTTCAGCAACCGAAAGATCCTCTGAGTAGAATCGGGCCGGCGCTTGATCACATGGTGACTGTTAAGAAAGTGCTTGACGTACTCGCAGAGGTACGCACCTCTTACAATTGTACCGTGCGTCTCGCTGAATTTAGTCTCATTGAAAAGATTCACCCTATTGCTAAGTTGGTATGGGGTATCGTATCCATAGGAGTCCAGGTAATATTTTGGTTCCAGAGCAGACCGTCTGTTGAAAGTTGATGAAGCTGATAGATATTAAAGAAACAGAAGGATACGAGTGAACAGGTAGCAGAGCTTTATGATGTGATGGTATCAACATACAGAGAGGCGAGCAAGCCCGACGTCTTACGGACCTTGACAAGCCTCGCTTCGGATTATGAAGCCCTCTTCCAGCAGACAATTTCATGCATCCAGTTTCTTGAAGGATATGCTCAACAGTGTTTCTTAGGTAAAATCAAAGCTAGTGCTATCTTGAAATACTGCTCATATCTCACTGGTGATCCCAGGGAGACTTATTGACACCAAAACGTCGGACAAGGTCAAAAGAATTCGGGAAAGATTCCAAAAGTTGGAGAACAACCTCCATCTCAGGGTCACTGAGGAAGTTGCTCGTATGTCCATCGAGGCAAAAAAACAGGACGGTGTGTTATCTGGTCGTTTTCCAGATGTCTTCGTTAAATCATCCTTCAGAGATCGAAAAATACATTAAGAAACTCGAGGCTGCATCAGATTCATCCGACAAGCTCTGCCCCAAGTCAACGTGCATGAAAGGCACTCGAGTCCAAGCTATCGGTGTAATAGAGAATTGGATCGACGGCCGCAATGGTGGAACGCTCTGGTGCCGAGGTATGGCAGGGACAGGAAAGTCCTCGCTAATGGCGACCTTGCACGAACGTTTCACGATCCGAGCAAGTGGTCGATTGGTGAATGAGGATGCAGTGGGTCTCGATAAAAGAGCGTGTGCGGCTACCAGAGGCGCTTGCCTCGCTGCCTTTATTCGATACGATCGTAGTACGGCTAGGTCTACTACCGCGGATAAACTCATCTATACCACGGATACGCTCATCCCTACCATTGCCCATTCACTGTGCGGTATGAACCCCGATATTCGTGCCGCCATAGCTGACGTTGTCAAGGACAACCCATCGGCTGCGAAGATGTCCCCGTCTTCAGCGGAGGAGCAGTTTCGATTACTCCTCCAGCAGCCATTGACCGGTATACGGGGACTGGAAAATGGGCCTTCTTTAGTGATCATAATTGATGGGTTGGATGAATGTGAGACATCTAAAGAGATGCTTTCCGTTCTCGCAAAGGGATTCGGACCCGATCTGCCCTTTATGCGGCTTATCGTGTCGAGCAGACCCCTTGGATATATTGTGGATGCCTTCAAGGCAGCAGTTCCCCCAATTACTGAGCTTGACTTAGACCCGTCCTCCGAGGAAGCAGACCAGGATATCCGATTCTACATCGATGCGCGTTTCCGTGACATTTACAAAATGTCGCCGTCTACAGGATTCCAGAGTTTGTGTGAGAAGCTCCGCGCTGTGGGAAATCTCACCAATCAAACGCAAGGATTGTTTATCTGGGCAGTGACTATATGTAATTTCATTGCCGAACTTCCCTGCGAATCCAGACTGCGAAAACTCCTGAACACCCAAAAGGTCGCTATAGATCCATTGACGACTCTTTATCGGAAGGCTCTAGATGCCATAGTCTCAGAAAACACCGACAGCATGGATTTGAAAAAGTACATTCATGATGTGCTTGCCTTTCTCGTTGCCTTCCGAATACCAGTGCATGTTCAGACTTTCGACGAGCTGGTGGCTCGCGAGCCAGATGGCCCCGAACCATCTTATGTACTTAAGATGTTGGGCAGTGTCGTGCAGATATCCGGAGAGAACATGATACAGCCAGTCCATCGGTCTTTCTTTGATTTTCTTCAGGACGAAGAGAAATGTGGGGCTATTTGGTATGTTAATATCATGCAGGAGCAGTCGGCGATCATGAGCCGAATGGTGGCAATATGGGGTAATGATCATTAAGTCTGCTGGGTACATCATGCTTCATTACCAACTGCACACTATAGGATTCTCTAGTACGGCCTTGATTTCTATATGCAGAGGACAATTCATTTATCTTGGCTCTAAGTTTAATAGAAAACGACGTTACATGCATGAGGATTGACGGAAATAGAACCGAAAATGGTAGGAGGAACTCGTCGTTCTCTCCACCACTAAAGGGTTGTGCATCTCTGGCAATGACATCCTTGTTACACTCTTCGCTCTCTACATGCCTCCGTTGCTAACTGGCAGATTCAAAGTCACCGGAAAACGGTGAAACACTCTGTGCGCACATGAGACAAATTTGGATGCCGGACTAGAGAGAGAGATCGTAAAACATGGAAATATGTGTCTGCTTAACAAGTGTACTTACACTGGAGTTATCCTGGCAAGCCGGCTTGTGCTATTTTTAGTGCGGATCATCGCAAGCGCCCACACTCGCCAGACTCACCGTCGGGATTGGTAAGTATTACTCAGCTATGTTTCTTTTCTCTGCACGAAAATTCTAGTAGTTTCTTTACAAAGTAGTATAAAAGTCTGTATGTAGAACGGGACACCCTTGCGCGTTTGCCTTCAAGGGTTCCCTGTCGCTTAATAATCTACCCCCTTATCTAACACGGCTGTATTATATACTCGTGGTACTCGTATCCACTGGAGTCGGGAGACGCGTCCGAATCACGTGCTGTTTAGGGCAGGTTTTTTCGGAGGTTTTGCCGTGGTTTGCCGTGATTCATAGCGTGCTAGCTTTGCAGCATAGCAATTAGCATTCATTTCGCCTAGCGAATCCCGCGACACAGTTACAACACCACTTTGACGAACACAACTAGAGCTCTCTGCGACTTCCTTTCAGATCGTGCGCGTGAACACTACTAGTTCATCCACTTACAACACCGTCTTCTATTTCGCCAACGCAACGTTGAAAAACATAGCACACAAATAGGGTGATGATGCTAACGGAACGCCTTTGGCTCCATTTAGCACGGGATTTATCATTGGGCTGAATGAGCCCACCTTTGAAGAGAACAAAATTGAAAATCCGCCTATAATAAAAATTTCCATTTTGAATATTTTGCCAGACGGAATTTCTGAGAAGAAAAGAGGTCAGCCAACATCGAAAAAATGAAGAGTAGATCACACCGGCGTTCTCCAACAAGGACACGAATTAGCCCATGGCTGTCCAAGAAGATAGCATACAACCGTATCTACGACAATCTGGACTCGAACAAGAGTTTGTCGTTACACCAATTTGTTGTCGGTTTGGCGACGACAGTCAAGTCAGGCACCTTTCAAAGATTACTGTTACTGATACGCGTAGGGCACCTGTGGGACATCGGACAAGGCAATTAGGCGCGGGCAACGCGTAGATGTATGGCAGCTGGTGGTAAGAAGGAGAATCATGCTAATTTCAAATTTGAGACACCATCAATTCTTGTTTCCTAATCATCATGCCCGGCCATCCTGTTCATCATCGTCATGTTCCTTTACCTTTCTTGTCGTCGCCTGACTGACTACTGAGCAGGATATATGCTCGCTCTCTCTAGTCACAACCACCGGTCCCTGTTTTCCTCAAACCGAAGCAACAAGGCCGTGTCAGTCGCTTTTTTCTCGTTGGAGCCAGTCCTGAGAACCGATGACTTTGTGGACGGAAGGTGCACATAGTAGGTCCTGGTGATCAGTAACGAACATTCAAATTCTCGTTCGTCCTTTTCCCTAACAGACCGTGACGGGCTTACTCTAATCTACCTTACAGGTGGCCTCAGCGTGCGCTTTGGAAGCCATATTTATTCTCCCCTTGACTTTGAGGGATGCGTGCGCCAACGAGGAAGGAAGTAGCAGTCTTTGGCTCGTTGTCGGAGAAGAAAAACTGTGACATTCGCGTCGGTGGAGGATGTGGCATCCGGGGGTTGTATAGCAACGTTCGGTATATTCCACTCATTTCCTTCCCCCTTCTTTCGATTTAATGAGAATTGCAAGGCCTTACGTCTCAGTTCAAAGACCGTCGTGCTGGGGTAGATTAGTGAACGGAACACTCACCTGCTTGGCATACGGCAAGGCAATCTGAAAGTGACTAGTGATCGCGTTTCTATATCCTATTTCAGAAACCTCATGCGTATTCCCCAGCTCCCTAAATACAGGCTCTGATAGCCTCCTGCTCGGAGAGCAAGCGGCACCCCTGAATCACGCCAAGGACAGGGAAACACAAGTTCCCCTAACGGTGTCTTGCAGGTACCATATAATACCCGTCTGATCTATTGCGCTCAAATCGTTGCGGATATCTTCTTGAAGATGGTATTTGGTTCCACGGAGCTTCCTTCTCAGTGAAGTGCGTTTCGTAGCAAAATGGTCTAAGTATGCGCGAACGGAGATACCGTTTCTAGATGCAAAATCTTAGCTTTCGCTATCAAAATGTTATGCTGCTCTCTATGAACCAAGGACTCCGAGTCACCGCTTTACCCACAACAGAAATCGGCGAGTCGTACAGGCCAACCATATATCATCAACGTTTCTGTGATTTGGTTTTCTTCTTTTCTCTGCTACTGCTGCTCTTCCTGTCCAGGGAAGCCTGACCCCCTGGCCGTCGTACTCGATTCAATGACGTTGACGTCGAAGAGCTCGGCGGCATGCGTACGCGAGGGTTCCTTCTCCCATAGCCATCTCCCGCATCGGGTATTAGTCGACCCATGCTGCAGTGTTTTGGTCAAAGAGGAAAATAACTGCCTCAGCCTGGCCAGCATGTGTTTAAGTATCGGGCTAAGGCTGTTTCCATTACCATGCGCATCACAGCCTTCATCATCATCGTATGTAAACAGTGTGCTGCCGGGCCGGCATGACCTTGATCGGCATGTTTTCACTTCCAACCATATCTCTAGGTTAGTTTCCAAGGTTTGCTCCAGCCCTACGGCCACCAATTTTCTTTCCAGGACGGAGGGGATGACTGGAACTTGATTCGTCAAGATAACTCGCACCTTTTCTCGTACAAGTGACTTTCGCTGGTATGGACACAGTATCCGAACATGGTAACAGTGCCCACTGTTCGCCGTCGCGGTCCTGTCCCAATGAGAAGTGCTCGCAAAGGACAGGTTCTGTGGTTTCGTCTGAGGTAGAGTCGGCATTTGAGGATCCTAAAGTCGCTAGACCATCCCACGTCCAAGTCAGTGTTTCTGGCGAGACACGCGCCTCCGCAGATGGGTCAGAAACAAGAACCTCCAGTGGTTCCTCCCAGGAAAGGAAGACACATCCTTCAACGCAGGAGGACTCGTCCTCTCATTGGAAGAAGTGCTACAATACTATATCTGAATTTGACTCTAAGATCATTTCCGAGTCCACGTGGACGGAAGAAATGAATACGATTCTTATTTTCGTGAGTTATTTGACTGCTCGATATCTATGCTTGTCGCCAATGTCTGAAGCATAGGCTGGTCTTTGCTCTGCTGTCGTCACGGCTTTTCTCATTGAATCATACCAATGGCTTAGCGAGGATCCCGTCGAAGCTCTTCTGACTCGAATTTCCTCCCAATTGGACCCAACAAACTCTTCTTCCATAAACACGCCATTTACTCCCTCGAACTCTAACGTCGTCATCAACCTCGCTTGGTTCTCCAGCCTAATTTTAGCATTGACGGTGGTTCTCATGGCCATACTCGTCAAGCAGTGGCTCGTCCAATACTCTTGGACGAACGGGAGATTTGTGCCACCTCCTCGCTTGGCTGTAGGGTTGCGCCAACTGCACTTCAACAGCCTCAACAGTCCAATTATCGAAGGAAGCATGGTATATGCTCCCCTTTTTCTCATCATAGCACTATTTCTGTTTTTTTGCCGGGCTCCTTATCCTTCTCTGGACCCTCAATTCCATTGTCGCCGGCGTAATCACCACTCTGATAGGTTTTACGACCATTTACTTCCTCACCACCACTATCACGCCCTCCTTTGACCCCAGTTCTATGTGCCGTTCTATACAATCCTGGAGTTTCTATCGGGTTGTATTCCTTTTCCGCTTCATCGTTACACGAGGAAAGGCTCGCTTTATATATACATGGACAGATATATCCCTAGAGTATCTGGAAGGAAACAACGAACACCTCTCGCGCGCGCTTTCATGGGTGCACAACCATGCCGTCGTTTGGGACCTTTCTCGCATACGGTCAGTATGGAAATGCGCTAAAACCCTCGACGACGCAACAGCGGCAGAGGTGCTATGCGACGTCTACCTGGATGATCCTTCAGAATCGGGGGAGACTGTTCTATCGAAGGATTATACGGATGTCTGGAGGACTTGGAAAGGTGACGAAGAGATCGAGGAAACATACAGGCTATTGCTACGCACCTTTCACGATGATTCTTGGGCGACCAGGAGCCCAAAGAAGAATGTCAATCACGTAGACGCATTCTGCTCTTTGCATTTCGGAATCGTGTACCATTACCACCACGTGCGCGACATCTTAAACGGACTGAACAGGCTTGCCGATTTACTATTGCCAACGGACACCAGACTATTCAGCTTACCCAGAGATGAAGAGAGCAGCCCAACGTTCGTTGCTGAAGAGATCGTTTATACCATCAATTTTGTCATGACGTCGCCCTGGTCCGGAACACCGGATGAAAGTACGACCATTCTAGGTAAGCGACACACTTATATGGCGCCCCCCAATCTAATCAGTCATCCTAAAGTATCTCGTTTTCTGACGACATTGATCGGAGCGTGCAAAACATTGCGAACGATCGCTACTGATGAAGGGACTCTATTTCGTTCGTTCGCAGCCGCAGCAATAAATACAGCATATTTCATAGCGGTTCAGTTCAAAGAGCCCGGGATGCTGGACGATAAACAGCTGCTTGAACTGTTCAATGCGATGGAGGTATTCATATTGTCCTCTGACCTTCAGCCTTCTGAAAGCCGGGATATCTTGGAGTTCTGGGCTCCCACTCTGCTTCAATACTGTGACAAGGATCATCAGCAGATACACGCATCTATAAGAGCGCTTATAGCTGCATTTGATGACTTTCCACTGAATATTTACGATTCTGACGACCATACCGATATCCTCATGCTGTATATGTTGTACGGCTGTCCAGACGTGCGTTCTCTCCCTTGTGTCTCATTACAAAGCTCACA